GTAATTAACATTCTGAATCGAAGTCCAAGTATAAGTTGTAAGGGAAACCCTTTGATGGTGACAAGAAAAGGCATCTCTCAATTTCAATTTTTCATCCAAATATAACTGATAAATGTCTCTAACAAGAGTCTTACGAGATGGAGCCTGAAATTGAGGACATGCTACACTACAAAAGAACCTAAAACCACGAGCTTCAACAAACTTAAAAGGTAATTCATCCAAAACTATCATTTTAGCACATGCAACTCTACACTCTTCCTTGCTTCGACCCACAGCAATAAGATTGCTCCCTCCACCCTCATTATTATTCTCAAATGATAAGCTTTTTTGCTTCTTATCCACCAATCTACCTGGATACTTCTTACAATGATTAGTCAAATGATTACCCAATGTACTAGTACCACACTTCTTAGTGCCACAAGCATAATCTACTCCACAATAATTACACTTACATCTAACATTTGGATCATTCTTTGGGCCCAATAGAGTGAAGTGATCCCAAACATAAGAAGCTAATTTACTAGATTTTCGTTTACCCCTAGTTGACGGTGCACGTGGAGGAAGACCAGATCGCAAATCTGTATCATTTGATTGAGCTTGTGTGCCACGTTCTTCACATACATCCAAATCTACTAACATATCCCACAAAAAAATGAATACACCAAATACATCTATTAAATTACAATTATAAATGCACTACAAAGAAGAAAGAATATTGTACCTGGGACCATTACTTAAGGCAGGATAATGCAAGTAATTTCCCAATCTAAATTTGACAAGCCTGTAGAATCGAGNTGACCAGGCTGTTGGATCGAGCAACATTTTCTGATTTCACAATTTCCCATTAGATTTTCAGTTAGTACATAAATAGAGGACAACAATACAAGCTAGTCTAATATGAAGATGCATAAAACCATGCAGGAATGCCTAGTTTTGTGTTTATTATTTCGTTAAACTGAGGAGATTGTAGATTTAATAATAATAATAATACCAAAATGTGGTAGAAGTACTAAACTTTTAGCTTGTTATTCTTGAATCCATTACAAACCAAATTATCTATAGGTCAAGCATGGGGATCATATTAGCTATGTATTGCACCGTACACATGAGCAAGAACAATGTAGATTACAATGCTCTAAATTGATAAGTATTAGCATCCTAGCCCCCACCCCCCTTTACTTCTTATGGGTGTTTCTTGAAGGCTTGGTTATAATATTTGGTTGTTTCACAAATATATCAAAGAATAACTATCAGATTCACGAATATAAGCTCTACAACTCATTAGAAATTCAACAATTATGATTTAACAAAAACATTGGAAATCACCTAGTAGTACACACGTTCTTCATTTAAAGATTAACATTTCCACTACAACTATTAACATAGCAGAAATTCTACAACTTTTAACAAATAAATAAATAAATAAAATTCTATACAGCTCTAAAAATTAAAATAGCAGGTATCTCTATGCCACATTGATTGTAATCAAAACATCTTGGAATAGTCAATTACAAATAGATGTATGTATATACATATACAGAAAGAAATGACCTTAAATTTAGAGTTGTTCAAATGATATAACAAAGGAAGTAACTAAAGTAAACTGTAAAAAAAAAAGTCGAAAATAAGTATAAAAAAAAACCTGCTTTCAGCTTCAGTCCACTGTCCAGTGTCCACCCTTGAACTCCAAAAACTTGGAAGGAAGTAACTAAACAGAAAATAAACAAACCGAAAAATCAATCTTCAACAGTTTAACTGAATACGACAAATAGATTTGTGCATGATGCGACGAATCTTGAACTAAATCGGGAAAGTTATAGAATATATTTACCTTTCAGTCACATAAAATTGGAAGAATTAGTGGTTTTCGCCTTTCTGGATGAACCTGCCTTTCTGGACGAATATTCAACAATCGGAACCACCGAACCACTAACTAGAAGGAGGAAGAGAGGAGGGAGAGGACTGAGGAGGAATGGGAGTTACCGGAGAGAGGGGACGACGGTAGAGGAGGGCTCTGTGCGATGCGAGTGTGCGGCGGTCAAGGACGGACGGGAGAGGAGAGGAATGAGGAGGGAGTAAAGTTTAGTCAGTGCACAGAGTTAGCTAGGGCTTTTTGTTCATAGAGTTAGGACTTTTTCNTTTTTTAATTCGTTATAAATCTATAATTTTTTATAATCACATTTAAACTTAAAAAAAAAATTAATTTTTTTTTTTTTTTTATATTACTGATTCATGGGCCGCCGAAAAAATGAGGCTCAGCCCGAGCTTTGGCTCGAGCCTTAGCGGGCCGAGCCGGCTTGTGTTTTTTTTTTTTTATAAATTCGTTATAAATCTATAATTTTTTATAATCGATTTAAAATTTGTGCAATTTATACGTGTTATAAATAATAAATAAATAAAAATATATATAAACACATTTAAACTTAAAAGAAAATTTTAAAAATTAATTTTTTTTTTATATTACTTAATCACAGGCCGGCCCGAGCTCTAGCCGACATCCCAAAATAGGGCTTGGCCTGATCCTTGCCCGAGCCGGGCCCAACTCGAACTTTTTCCTGGCCGAGCTCGAGCCGCCCGAACCGGCGAGCTTTTTTGCCATCCCTACCTTCTCTGATATGTTGAATTAAACACTATGAAGAGAACTATTAACAAATTAACTTTATTATATGTACATTACTTCACTTCAAACTATTATGTCAGGTCTAAAACATCATCGTACCTCAAGTCTCAAGGGATTAGTTTCATTTAGAATGGGCTCACGTTAGAATCTCCAATTTTGAAATTTTTTCTATTACTCAAAATTGAAAATATAAGTCACTTATTTTGACAATAAAGTAAGTTACTTTTTACTTAAAAGAGATATATATAAATGTTTGAAATTTTTTTTTAAAAAAAAATTGAAAGTAACTTTACTTTTACTTACATTTACAGTCATTATTAAAATTCATATTTATTTTAACTAAAAAAAATAGAAAGTAGATAAGAATTCTTGAGTTAGGGCCGAGCCATGCTTGATACAACCTGTTTTGTGTCGGCTTAAGCTCGATATAAACAATGGAGCAACGCGAGCCAAGAGAAAGTTCATTGAAATTTTCAAATGGTTAATTATGCGTATGGTAGACGAACTTTTTCCATTATTTCAAAATCAGACATAAACATGACGTTGTTTCAAGATCATACATAAACTTAAAAAATTGTTTTCCATCCATAAAAAAAGTTTAACATTCGCCGATCAAAACTAGAGGTTTACCCCACGTAGCAAATGGCGCATCTATGTGACATAGTCCAATAGTAGATATATGAAACATGTAAGTCGTCTCAAAAATTATAAGTCGGAGGATAATCACATCTCCTAAACGTAGAAAATTTATACTGTATGATTATGATATGTTAAGTAAAGTGGATTAAACAATATTACATAATATTGCTAAACAAAAGAAATTAAAATCTTATTGATTATATACTATTAAATACAATCTATTCTTCTTTCCCACTTCATTCTCAAAGTTTTCTTCCCTCCTAATTAGCTTAGCGGCCCTAAATTTTTTTTCTCTCTATAAAACTTATGGCCTTGACGGAAACAATAGTTGTGCATATGGAAGTACATTGTTTGTTTTTCTTCATAACCTGCCATATATGATGTAACACCACGATTTTTTCATTGAGTCTTAAGTATAAAGTTTGAGAACTTGAGGATCAAATCGAAATTATTTCAATTCTCGAGGGACAAAATTTAAAATTTGAGAAAAATATTTAAATTGAATGATGGATGAAACTAAGTTTTATTAGTGATTATGAGTTATTTGAGGATCAAATTGCAATTTGAAACTTAATTAAAATATTTGAAAAGTTCAAGGACTAGATGAAATTTATTAAAACGAAGTACAATTTTGAGGATGAATATGTTATTTGAGTGTAGAAACATTTTTGCAAATTTTGTAAGAATGAAGACCAATTTGCAATTTCGATAAACTTGAGGCACTAAAGTGAAAATTCAGAAAAAAATTGAAGTAAGGTTTTTCAAGCTAAATTCTGAGGCTGAAATTATGTAAAAAAAAAAAAAAAATGTTTGATTCGGTTTAGACATTTTTATACATAGTTGGAGTTTTTAGATCCCGTCCGAGGTAATTGAGGTTTTCTGACATTAAATTATGAAGGGAAAATTCAGGGAACTTTCCAAAGCACGAAGTTTATTATTCAAGTTTTTCAAAATGGAAGTTGATTCTTCGTATTTCAAGTTTATACGAGTCAAGAAAATCAACAAAATTTTAAAATAAGACGTTTTTATAAGCTTAAGTGTTGAGTATTTATTTTAATATTGTAATAGGTCTAAAATAGAGCCCATCTCGAATAAGTAAATATGCTGTTTAGGCCATAAAGTCCCGACCTAACAGGGATTGTCACGAGGCCAAATAGATGACGGTCCAACAATCATTTCCTCCAAGTCCACGTAGTTTTTTCCATTTCCCCGTGTGTTTTAAGATTGAATGAAAGTTTAGCGCTACAAAATGAAACATTGGTATATGTTTTGAGATTGGAATGGTCATGTTTTCTCGATGAATTTTTGTGGTCGTCTAAGTTTTAAGATTTAATTTATTTTTATTTTTTCCTTTACTTGCTTCAACGAATGTAAGTTTGTTTGTGTTATTTTACTTAATATTAACGTAAGAAGTTTTAAAGTTTATGAAGTGACGGTGATAATATTTTGTAAGATCAGCAAATGACATTTAAATCCAACTTGTTCATAATGTTACGTGGCGACATTACTGTTTTAAATAACTACGAATTTTTGAAAAACGAAGTTTTTACTTATGTTTATGTTGCAACATGTAGTTGAAACTTGATGATTCTAGTTTATGCTTATGCTGCAACATGATGTAGTTGAAACTTGATGATTCTAGTTTCTGCTTATGCTGCAACACGATAGTCATTATATTAAGTCAAGATTTGTAGCTGTTGCGGTTGATAATCAAACACAACATTAAACCCCATTCGAATAATTTTATAAATGTCAAATGAAGAAATGTGAACATAGAAAACACCAAGGAAAAAGAGATGTTACTCATATAAAAAATTAATATGGGGACGATTTCAAATTTTCCTATTCACAAAGAAAGAAATTTATGTTTAGGAGCAATAAATGCACTTTTAGTAAAAATAGGACATATTAATGTCGCTAATTACCTTACTTTGTTCTTGACATTTGTATTCGAAATTCAAGAGGTACTACGTCGTGAATGGAGAATGAAATGGAGTCCGAGGAGAAAGCAAAAGTTTTAGATTCCAGGGATATATTTAATCAAGGAATTCCGAATGTCAAATTTTAACTTTTCATATACCTTCATAAGGGAATAAACGAAAATCCCTTCATAGCCCAATCTAATGCTCTTCAATAGTATCAAAGACATTTCAAGACAAGACGTAGGGAAATGTAGTAGAATGATGCATTCATTTTCAAGAAAACTTTAGAATACAAATGTTTAGTTGAAAGAATTTGAATGCTTAAAAAGGAAGTATCGATAATAAAGATTGTTAGTCGTCTTTCATCTCTTACCGTACACCTTGTCATGTCTCCTTCCTTTAACAAAAAAATCTCATAAATAATAATTAATTTTTTTACTTAGGTACTTGAACTTCTTAAAATCTTCATCTCAAGATATTTTCCATGTTTTATTGCATGCTCTACAAATTTCCTAAGTTGGACAATTATTGCAGTTTATATAGGGGTGTTAATCGAGCAGAGCGGCTCGTTGACTCGTCACAAACAAGCCACGAGCCGTTCGAGCCGAGCTGAGCCGTGTTTTGACGAGTGCCTCGTGGGCTCGTCAACAATCATGTGTTTTTTTTAAAGGCTTATTCTAAAAATAAAAATAAAAAAAACACAAGCTCGTGAGCTGAAGGTCGGCTCGGCCGACGAGCCACGAGCTCATGGGCCGAACCGAGCTCGACCCGCGAGTAACGAGCCAAGCTCGTGGGGATATGAGAAGTTTATAGCGGCAGATGGAGGCGAGAGAGGTGGTGGTATTCGTGTAGTGTTTAGTCTTGAGAAAATTACATGGGTTTTAGCAAGGATTGACACACTATAATGGTATTTAATATAAAATTTATGTCACAATTTTACAAAAATTACATGCAATGTAACGGGATAAGAGTTTAACCCATAATATAAGTTGCAATCATTGTATTAAAATTATGAGTGTGTTTGGTAGAGATTAAAATCAGAATAAAATTGAAAAATTAGTCGTTTTTGTTGATTTTTATTAGACGAGTGAGATCTAATAATGATTATATTTTCAATTTTAATTGGATTTTAATTCCTTCCGAACAAGCTCAATATAATTGTAACATGATTAAAAGAGAACCTAAAATACAATCGTTATGTATAAAGATAGGGTAAGTTATAATCGTAATAAAAAATTCCCTACACTATAATTTGTCAAAAAATTACTTACACGTCAAAAATTTACATAAATCGCGTTTTTCTTTAAACGAAGATTTATGTTATAATTTTAAAATATTGAACAAAATAAAAAAGAAAAATCAATATTTTTCAATTCACCTTCCTATTTTTCCCCTTATTTGTATTAATTTCCCTGAAAATGAATCCTGGGAAAATATTTTTTTCGTTTAAACTTCTGCTAATCAATTTCTTCTTAATCAGAAAAATCCCTCAATCAAGACGTCACCCTTCTTCCTTCTATCCCTTTAGTTCAGTTACTCTGTTTGATCAAGTTTTCAGCAAAACCCTAGACGTGCTCCATCTCCTCTACCTACTGGGTCCCCGTACCCACGCAGCGGTATCATAATTTAGTTTAATTGTTTCATTGTATCATGTAATGTTTTGATTTTGATTTTCTGAATCTAATTTTGGGCTTTGGTACAGGGTTCGGGGGCCTCTCAGGGATTCTTCTACTAGCCATAATCCCAACGTCTGGCGCTCCTGCTATCAGTCATTATTCTTGCTTTATGGTAACTTTTTCTTTCATGAAGCATTATTATTTTGTTCAATGTTTTCGATTTTTATGTGAAACACACAATTATTGATTTTTCCACTGTAAAGCTGAATTTTGCTTCTTGGTTCTTTCGTGTTGAATGGTGCACGAGGTTGTTTTGGCTGCTCATTCGCATAAGAATTTAATGTTGCTGATGTGTCTTGCCTGTACTCAATTTCTTGTTGATTAGCCTTAGTTGTAGTCTTGGCAGACTTATTACTGGAATTGCTGTCAATGCTTATTGTCATTTGAGCTTTTACTTACATTGGCATGCATCCTTTTCAAATTTAAACGAGTCCAACTAAGATAATGCTGGCAGAATTGCTTGCTCTGGGATTGCCTTCGCTTGTGATCTTGTCTTCAGATTGGGGTTTCGCAACATTAACTACATTGGATTTGATTGAGAAACTGTTGGAACTGTCCAAAAAGATCCATGCACACACCTACTTATCACTCTTGCACCACAGGATATGACTGCACCGATCCAAACTTTGAGCTCTGATGGGTATATGCTAATGCATGACAAACATTTTCCTTTCAGCTCTTTCTCAGCTAACTAATCTTTGTAAAAGTTTCAAGTAATTATGGACATAGCATGAAACTCGAAAGTCGTGATTTTTTTTTTTTTCGATCTTATGCCACCATAACCTGTATGATGTTAAATTGTTCCTTTTTCCCCCTTTTGTTCTATCAGCTGCCTTTTGATATGTCTCCGTGACTAATGAAACTGAGTTTTTTTGTATAATAATAGAACTCACCAAACGAGTCATAGTTGATGTGAAATGATAGATACCATCAATATGAGGTCAGATTCTCCGTCTGTGCTGATTATGGCATCAATCGGATAAATGTGGTATTCTAGGACAATTTCTTAATTTAGAGGCTGGCATTTGGGGGTTAATGCATATAGAGGATGGTAGTTTTGTTAATGAGAGGAATTTTTTTAGATGGATCATTGTTTTTGTTATCCACCTACGATTTTTATGATGAACAATTATTTTGAATTTTTTGTTTTGATGGAGATTTGTTGGTTATTTGGATTTAGAGTTACTTTTTAGTTTGCATAATTTGAAAAGATAAGGTAAATTGAGAAGGGCATAATTGTTTAGGTAAAGTTGCTTTGACTTATTAAGATCTCAAGCCAATATTGTAATTATTGACACATTCTAAGATGGACAAAAGAAACTCAAATTTGAAGAAGACAAAATAAAAATGGGTCCGTACATTGTTCGGAAAAGTGCACTAGGCTTGTGCCTGATTGAAAGCCTCCATTAAGAGCCTCAAAGCTCAAGTTTTGACTTTTGAGTGCCTCACACTTTTTATTATTGGCATCAACCTTTTCGGATGGTTTTTTCTAGGCTTAAACATTGTAAGGATGTTTTGAGCTATTTTAAAGACTAAACAACCTTAAAAACAAAAAAGGATATGAAAAATTAGATAAGACAAGAAGTAAAAAGGTATACGCTAGCATTGTACAACTAAAATGCAATAACCTCCATCCCAAGTGAAGTTGAAACTTTTCTTTAATAGACGATTGGTGACTAGAGACCTTGGACATGTAAATTCATTATTTAAAATTTTTGGTGACTAAAAAAGGAGTAATGTAGCTGACCATAATTTATTTGAAATAGGCATAGTTTTTCATTTGTTTGTTTGTTGTTGCTGTCTTTGGATATACTTCTTTTGGAGTCGAAGCAAGCAAAGTTCTGAACAGTTGGCCCATTGTTTTATTTGTTTTAAAATTTTGGTTTTAGTTATTTATTTATTGTCACGTGATTTCCACATTTTTAATTATGATGTCTTACTTTGTTGATCCATTTTAGTTTCTAAGTTGCAAATTAGACTTAAAGTTAGATGGGTATATGCTAATGCATGACAAACATTTTCCTTTCAGCTCTTTCTCAGCTAACTAATCTTTGTAAAAGTTTCAAGTAATTATGGACATAGCATGAAACTCGAAAGTCGTGATTTTTTTTTTTTTTTTTTTTTTTTTCGATCTTATGCCACCATAACCTGTATGATGTTAAATTGTTCCTTTTTCCCCCTTTTGTTCTATCAGATGCCTTTTGATATGTGTCCGTGACTAATGAAACTGAGTTTTTTTGTATAATAATAGAACTCACCAAACGAGTCATAGTTGATGTGAAATGATTGATACCATCAATATGAGGTCAGATTCTTCGTCTGTGCTGATTATGGCATCAATCGGATAAATGTGGTGTTCTAGGACGATTTCTTAATTTAGAGGCTGGCATTTGGGGGTTAATGCATATAGAGGATGGTAGTTTTGTTAATGAGAGGAATTTTTTTAGATGGATCATTGTATTTGTTATCCACCTACGATTTTTATGATGAACAATTATTTTGAATTTTTTGTTTTGATGGAGATTTGTTGGTTATTTGGATTTAGAGTTACTTTTTAGTTTGCATAATTTGAAAAGATAAGCTAAATTGAGAAGGGCATGATTGTTTAGGTAAAGTTGCTTTGGCTTATTAAGATCTCAAGCCAATATTGTAATTATTGACACATTCTAAGATGGACAAAAGAAACTCAAATTTGAAAAAGACAAAATAAAAATGGGTCCGTACATTGTTCGGAAAAGTGCACTAGGCTTGTGCCTGATTGAAAGCCTCCATTCAGAGCCTCAAAGCTCAAGTTTTGACTTTTGAGTGCCTCACACTTTTTATTATTGGCATCAACCTTTTCGGATGGTTTTTTCTAGGCTTAAACATTGTGAGGATGTTTTGAGCTATTTTAAAGACTAAACAACCTTAAAAACTAGAACAAAAAAGGATATGAAAAATTAGATAAGACAAGAAGTAAAAAGGTATACGCTAGCATTGTACAACTAAAATGCAATAACCTCCATCCCAAGTGAAGGTGAAACTTTTCTTTAATAGACGATTGGTGACTAGAGACCTTGGACGTGTAAATTCATTATTTAAAATTTTTGGTGACTAAAAAGGAGTAATGTAGCTGACCATAATTTATTTGAAATAGGCATAGTTTTTCATTTGTTAGTTTGTTGTTGCTGTCTTTGGATATACTTCTTTTGGAGTCGAAGCAAGCAAAGTTCTGAAGAGTTGGCCCGTTGTTTTATTTGTTTTAAAATTTTGGTTTTAGTTATTTATTTATTGTCACGTGATTTCCACATTTTTAATTATGATGTCTTACTTTGTTGATCCATTTTAGTTTCTAAGTTGCAAATTAGACTTAAAGTTTTGGTGATTTTTTTAAGCATGAAATATTTAGATGGTTTGTTTTATGTATAATTCTGTATTTCTGTTTATGAATGCCTATGATGTACCGACACGGATACATATGTCTAACAAGATACTTGTCGGATACACTGACACGTAATTTTAAAAAAAGTACTGACACGACACTTTGTCGACATGTTGATTAAATTCTTTAAAATTCTTCACTTATATAGTATAAATTTAGTTTTATACTTATTAATTATTATTTTTGAAATGTTTTAAATATGAGTATCTATTTGTTATTTAGTAATAATGTTGAGTTAAAAATATAATATTTTTAATAAAAAAGAAAAATATTATGGTAGAGTGTCCAAGAAGTGTCAGTATCGACACTAACACACTACCCTAGTTTACATGTCTGTGCTACAGAGATGAAAGCTTGTCGAGGCTTGTGCTTCATGTAACACACAAAGTACTATGATGCCATATTTAGCTTTTCAATAACTGGTTGGATATTTACATTGCTTTCTGTAGTTTCTTATGCTTATGCCTTGCTGCATGCCTCATATGAGGCCTTCAAGAAGAGCCTCAAAGCTTAAGATTTGGGTGATAGTTCTCAAGACTTGCACCTCCACATAATGTAATGCACTCCTCAGAATATGAGCCTCTATGTGATTGAGGTGTGATCTCCTTATGCTTGCGCTTTCTAAGCTTTTTTTTACCTGACTTGGCATATTTGGCTGGATTTTTTATAGCCTAGAAAATTTGAAGGGTGTTTTGAAGTGTTCTGAACACAAAGACTATAATGAAAATGATTGGAGATTAGAGAGAAGAAAAAGCAAAGAATTATGTGTGCCTCTGATACCTCCATTGCTCAATCAAGCGCAGTTTCTGTTACTATTATATTTGTTTTACACTTTTAGTCTGCTTGTAGCTAGTCGTCTTGTCACGTGGTTACTAGTTTTCGAATATATTAATTTTTACTTTGTCAATTCATTTTATATTTAGAGTTGTAAATTGGACCTTTTATTGTGTTGCAATTGTTTGTTATAAATTTTTTAGATGTTTTCATGGTTTAAAAAGGTGGGTAGTGAGGCGCGCCTTGAGACCCGCCTCACTGTGAGGCGCATGTAGTATGTCTCGATGCAGTATTTTGAGGTGGTATTTTTTAGGCTAAAAATTTGAGGCTCACGCTTCTAAATTTGAGCGCGGGCCTTGGTGGAACATGAGACGTGCGCCTCATTTAAAATTTGATTTTTCAATTGTATTGATTGAAATAAAAAAGGACCCTTCTTAAAAAAGAAAATGGCTCATTTAAAAGACATTTTGGGCTCAAACAAAACAATAAAATACCTAGAAAACTAAATGACAATCAGAAATTAGAGGACCGAAAATGGAACAAATTCAACAGAAATTCAAAAGTCAGAATTCAAGAAGAGTATTGTCTTCTTCATCAGTTCATCATATATGTTTTTCCTCTTTTCTTCTTCTTAGGGTTCAATAAATATTGCATGCAATTATTTGCTTTATATACACATTTGGAAATTATAAATTTTATAAATGTTCTGATTTATATAATTAACACACACGATTTCATCCAATCACTTGTATAAAATCTAAAACTCATGTATCCATACTTCTTAATCTGCAACATCTCTTCAATATCCCCACATCATTGTCAATTTTTTATGCAACAGTACACTATACCCAGATTTATGCTGTTCCACATCTTAGGTTTTTTTTTTAATTTAAGTTGCTTTTTTTTTTCATTACAAATGAAGTGATGCTTTTTTTTCCTAAACATCTTCTTTCTTTAGGTGGACTATATCTCAATATGCTAATGGCTATATATCCTATTTATTATATGCTCCAACTTTGATTTTTTTGTATTATTTTATAATTCTTTTACGTATATTTTTTGTTTTTTGTGAGTCTTACGCCTCAATCCGCCTCGAGGCTTATGCCTTGCCTCATAAAGAAAAATCGACTCAGTACTTAGTTTCGCCTTTTTAAACCTTGGATGTTTTATAGTTTTTTATTAGTATATTTGGTACTTATATAATTTGATTATATTATTTTTTGGGTTTATCTTGAGGCTTATTGCTTGTGTGTTGGAGGCAAAACACCTCATAGTCGGCTGACATTTTATAAAACTGGGTGCTGGTAAATGGCTAATAAACTTTTCTAAATTTGAGAAGAGGGTTGGAGTTTGTTGACGGTTTAACCCAGTCCTGTCCAGGACCGGCCTGTGTTGAAACATTTAAGAAATTTAGGGCTGCAAGTTAGCTTCAAGAGCTTGACCTTGACTTAAGCTCAGTTGAATTGGAGTGGGACATGGGACAAAAGCACCGGCTCGTGCTCGCAGTGAGATTTTTATTAGTTCTAGTGCAAGATAGTTATATTATTTCATATCGGCATTCGAGGATAATTTGCAACTTATTTTTACAGGCCAATAAGGTAAATAGAATTTTCAATCCATTATATCATCTTTTTTGCAGAAGTAAAAGCCGCACCCTGTTCTCTTACTCCAATAGCATTTTCTCCTCTTTGCTCTCTTCTTTTTCTCTTGCCATCCTCTCTGTCACCACCACCATCACCACTACATGGTTTGCCAATAATAACAGCAAGTGATAAAGGTATTAATGGACCAGAAAGTTCAGATATTTGGCTTTTCCCCCAAATCCTTTGATTATTTACTGGTGAAGATCTGTACCCTTTTAGATTCAGTGTGTCAGTGCTATGTTTTACCATTACTCTGTTCTTGTATATTATTATTAAATTCTACTCTATTCTTTTTTCAGTGTTTTTGTTCTTTAATAATTTGGGTTCTCTCTTTTTGTTGTGATTCTTTTTTTGAATATTTTATTTTTATGCACACGTTTACGAGTTATTGTTACTTAGATTAGATGCAAGTTTTTGTATGTTAGTAATTTCTGTATGTTAGTATAATCAAATACTAATTAAGCACTGGCTAATCGAGAAGGGTAAGAATAAGAAATTAATTTCATTAATAAATTGACAAATTAATCATCTAGGAAGCATGCGAGGGTCAAAACAGAAGTGGACACGACACACACTCTTCGCATAATTTTCAAGAAAAGTAGGACATAGACATGTTAGGGTACTTCAATAAAAGTAATAATAAATTTATTTTTAAAATTTTATACCGTAGAGAAAATAAAACGTTTTATACTTATTGCATCAAATTGTATACAAGAAATATAAAACAAACTTGACAATAAGTTCATACTTGGTTTCTTATAACATGAAGTTCAAGAAACAAAAATGAAATTATTTCTTTCATTTACCTTGAGTTGCGTCTCCAACATCTTCATTTCCACCATCAGTAATTAGTCTCGCATCCTATTTTTGGTTCATTCAGAGACAAACTAGCATCTTCAAGCACACCAACATCTTCAAATGAATCAAATGTATCAGTTCTAATGTCAAACATCTTCGTCTCTCCTTGTGTATATTGTGGGCTCCTCCTTGACAAGCGACTTAGATTGCTATGAACGAAGACTATGTTCAAGCTATGGTATTCCTTTAAAGAGTATGCAGAAAGGAATAACAATTTTATTTTCGCTTACAACATCATGAAGATGTTGGTACGAATAACTTCAAGGTTGTGTTTGAAGCATAGATACATAAGAGCCATGAATGACCCACAATGCCTTTAGGTCCGTGTGGTAACGATCGTTGATAGTATCAAAGTCTGTCACTTTAGCAATTATTTGCAGTTCTTATTTTTCTATTCACATGCCTTCATAGGCTGCAATAACGTTTTTACGTTGACCTTTATCTCTTTGAAGAACAGTAGCTCTCAACAAATTATATTCCAGTGGAAAATATTTTAATTAGGGGCTATTGATATCATGACTCCAAGAACAAACATAGTAACAGCTTCTTGTCTGGTACTTTTATGGACATCCCGGAAGAGAAATGAAGTATTCAATGGGGGATAGAGGGATTATAAGTTTATGAAATATGAAGCGATAATCAAATAAGAATCATGTAGCCAAAATTTTGTTAAATAATTATAGCCACGACTCAAAATTTAGCTTAAAAAAGTTGCATTCTCCAATCTTCTTGGTAAATTCAGCGATAAGTTATATGGGTTGAGTGTGTAGTGCTTATCACGATTAAAAAAAGTCTTGAAGTCAATGACTTATAACAAGTTAGTTGGCCGAAGGCTTGTTAGATAGGCATAGGAAAAAATTTGTCTTAATATATTTGAAATGAGTTGTTTCGTTTTCTCTTTTTCTTCTCTTATTGCTTGGTTGTTATCAATTGAATGTTGTTAGATGATCCTCTTGCCCATTTAGTTACTTTGCCCCTGTGTGCGCGTGCGTATATCCAACTTTATCTTTATCAAAATGCTATTGATACTTCCACAAGGTAATAAATTTTAATTTTTTATTAATTATTATTATGTTTTTTTTGCAGTTACCGGTTCTCAACTCTTTCATCTTGTGTGCAAAGAAGTTTGGAGGAAAATGGATATTCCAATGGCTAGTAAGAAAACATTAAAGAATCAGGAACACAAGAGAGCTTCTTCAAGTCCTAAGGATCAGCCTTCTAGGAAACAACGGAAGGGGGAAAATTCTGTTCGAATAACAACACCCACAGAGCCATATGCTGATATTAAATGTCCTAATTCATGGATCTGTAAAAATTCTGCATGTCGAGCCACTATTTCAATAGACGACACATTTTGCAAGAGGTGCTCTTGTTGCATTTGTCATTTATTTGACGACAATAAGGATCCAAGTCTCTGGTTGGAATGCACATCTGAATCTGGTTCGGGGCACTCTTGTGGCTTATCTTGCCACATTGAATGTGCTCTCCAACGTGGGAAGGTGGGAGTTGATCTTGATCAGATGATGCAGCTGGATGGAAGCTATTGCTGTGCTTCATGCGGCAAGGTTTCCGGGATACTGGGGTATGCTGTTTACTTTTAACATTTTTTTTCTATTACATGAACCCCACCTCTCTTTTTTGGCCACATTTTCTGAAATAGGCTTTATTAAAATATTGTAGAGTATATTTATATTTTTGAAACATGAGGAGGTGGAGACAAGTCGGTAAAATTGGAGGAAAATCACCCTCTTCTCATGCCATACCATGCCTTTTGGTCTCAAATATTAGCATCTTAAGTGCAACAATAAGGACCGGGTGTCATTTTAAGTGCAATAATTTGGTGGACTTGCTATTGTAGATAATTATATTTTAAATGCAAACGCCAAGTAACTCCTTTTGAGATGAGTTGCCGGGATCATCATTAGATTGGGTGTGAGGTCTGCTCATGATAGTCTACGTTTGGATGTGCATGCAAGTCTTCAATTGCATTTTTCTGTTCCTGATATTCTTTCTTAGCAAAGAGATTTAATCCTCATACCTCATGTTGTCTCAAGTTTGATTGTCATATTAGACGTTTTTCATTTAGATGTCTTAAGAGTGTTTTTGGTTCTTTATACCCTCCCAATCCCAGCTCAATTTCTGTGGAAATCTTTCCACATATTCTATAACCTTTTTTGACGAAAAGAACCACAAATTGGCAGCAGTTATATACTTGCAATAAAAATCTTAATGTGCATCCCTTTTCAAAGCTAGTTAGCATGGCAGAAGGTTATGTTTCCAAGTGACGGGCATACTGTTCCCATAGTATGACTTAATTTCAGATTTAAGCTAAGATATATAATAGAAAGAAGAGGTCCACCTAGAAGTAATTTTGACTTCATTGTATCAGGTTATGAGGCTCTATGACACAAATAATGATTTTGCAGATACTGGAAGAAGCAGTTAACTATTGCTAAAGATGCTCGTCGTGTAGATATCCTCTGTTCTAGGATATTCCTGAGTTACAGGCTCTTGGAAGGGACTTCCAGATTTAAAGAGCTCCATCAATTCATTAAAGAAGCTAAGGAAAAATTGGAAACAGAGGTAGGTCCCGTTAATGATTCAGCAAAAATGGCACGGGGAATTGTCAGCAGGCTCTCAGTAGCTGGGGATGTGCAGACTCTCTGTTCTCTTGCTATTGGGAAAGCTGATGGATGGCTGGCCTCTAAGTGTTGCACAAGCCTAAATAGCATTGGTACTGCTTTTCTGGGATTTACTATTTAATCTCTTGAAATATGAAATTTTGGGATCTTATGAATAAACTCTGTACCTTTGCAGAAAGTTCCCTTCCCACTGCTTGCAAGTTCATCTTTGAGGAAATCACATCCTCTTCAGTTTTAGTTATATTGATAGCAGTATCTACTGAACCATTTGATGATATTGAAGGGTACAAGCTGTGGTATTGTATGACAAGAGAAGAGACTTACACCAAAGAGCCTGTTAAAGTCTTTCCAGGATCTCAACGGAGGATTTGGATATCCAATCTGCAGCCCTGCACGGAGTACTCCTTCAGAATAGTATCCTTCACCGAGGCTGGTGACTTGGGACATTCTGAAGCAAAATGTTTTACAAAGAGTAATTCAGACTACGTAGGAAGATCTGGTGCCAAGCGAGAATGTAAGACTGTAACAGAAATTGAACCCGACTCTGAATTCAAGGTTCAAGACCTCGGGAAGATCTTGAGGCTGGCATGGACTGAAGAACAAGACTTTCGTCAGGGATTCCGTGGTGCAGATATTAAAAAATGTTCCAGGGATCATAGTTTTATTGAACCAAAAACTGTACTTGGAGACAGGTTGCAATTTATTCCAAGGGAGATTGACTTGAATGTTTCTTCAGTGCCTGATCTGAACGAAGAGTTTACCCCACAAGTTGAGTCATCTATAGACAACTGGAACCATACGAAAACTGATGAAGGTCCAGCTGTTGACTCTCATGTGGAAGTTTGCCCGAAGACAACACATAATACCAATGCGGAGATGCAAGATTCTGATAGCAATCTGACCAATGGATCACCATCCCAAGTCGGGAATGTGGCGGGACTATTGGGTGAAAACTACGAATACTGTGTTAAAATCGTCCGTTGGCTGGAATGTGAGGGCCATATTAAGGAGGAATTCAGAAAGAAGTTTCTGACGTGGTTCAGCTTGAGATCAACTAAGCAGGAATGCCGAGTAGTTTACACTTTTATACAGACTTTAATTGACGATCCAAGTAGTTTGGCGGAACAGTTGGTGGATTCTCTTTCAGAAGTCATAGCCGTCTCTGGCAAGAGGCCAAAAAATGGTTTCTGTGGCGAGCTTTGGCATTAGTTTATTCGGATTGTGGGAAGAAAGTACTGCCAGTTGAATCCATACTTATCATCTAGATGTCAATAGAAATTGCAGTTCATCACATCAATTATTTGCACGGTATTTTTCGAAGTCTTTTCTGAGATGATTTGTTACTGAAGTGGACAACTGCGGATGAAGCATTTTTCATTTTCAAAAAGTTCTCAATTGTCTTTTTTGGTGGCAGAAAAACTGAATTATAGATTAGATTCCATTTGGAGATTGTTGGTAGCATTTCTTTCTATTGATGATAGAAGGGTAGATGCATGACTTTGTTTTTAGGCATTCCTTTGTCTAATTCATGGACATGGCTTAGCTTTTCATACGTGTTAAATTTTTCCTCAACTCTTACATTATTGTCAATTGAGATTTCATTTCAAAGAAAATTCGAAATTGATGCAATTTGTTGCTGAATCATTGCTCATTTTTTGTTGCAGTCATAGGATATTTATTATGATCTATTGTACTCTAGAATTAGTGATTGCAAAATTTTTCCTTTCTCATTCTTTGGTTAACTTAATTCTAGTACATTGAATATATAAAATAGCTGCATAAGCTTAAACAGTAAGAGATGTGTGATAATGTCACCTCATGTAGTTGGAAGTAGTGCAAGATTATTGCCCTTTATCGCCTGTTTATTTTTCATTTATTTATTTTATGTTAAATATCATATATGATTATAAAATAATTGAATAAAAAATTGATATTGAGAAAAAAAAAAGATTATATCATTTATACATCATCATTCTCAAGCATAAATATATTCTTTTAATGTGGGACAATAAATTTCCTTAACAAAGTTTCACACTTAAAATAATATGAAGTATGAATCGCACACTGGATTATTAAAGAAAATATGTTTTAGCAGTAATTTATTAAATAATAATCTTTGCATTAAATGTGCTATGAAGTGAATTTGTTATCTATATAATGTGTAAGACCATTAATACATTTTTTTATTTAATTAATAAAAGTACTAATTATATTTATATAAAATTTAAAAAATAAATTCGTGGGTTGGGTGGGGTGGGGGGAATCACATTCCCTGTTACTGCCCTACATATCCACTTAAGTAGGGATTCTCCGCCGTGTTAGGGTCCTTGTCGAGATCGATGATTCTCCATCACCGATGATATCTCTAGACAAGTAGCCGGCAGATTGGAGTTTGTTTGATGTAGTCTTGCAAGGCCGGCTCTGGCCCAAGGCAAGTAAGGCCACTGCTTTGGGCATCAGATTTTTTAGAGCCTCTAATTTTGCCCTAATCCAAAACCCCTCAAATCCCATTTTAAGAGAAAAAATGAGTATAAACTGGAGAAGAACGAAACAAACCGTCTTTTGTCTTCAATCATCTTCACCAAAAAATTTCTCTCTATTCCCTAGGCGACAATTGACGATTCATATTTTTCATTAAACCCTTGTTGAAAATCTGAAGATTGAGGGGGCACGACTTCATTTTCCACCAGAGAAGTTGAACACTTACATGTGAGTTTTTGTTTGTTCAACATATTTTTTCTTCAAGAATTTCTCTAAATATTCAAGAAAATATAAATCGCTTTTTAATATTTTTCAATGTTACGAAGATGTCATTTTTTCCATTTATCTATATATGATAGGTACACGCCCCTGTTTGTTGAATTGTGGTTAGTGGTTACAAATTTAAGCGAATTCCTGGTAGTCAAAACTGTTATCTTTTGAATTTTGATGATTTCTCATTTTCTAAGTGTGTCCATAATGTGTTCTTCTTTATTGGTTTCTTATTTTGTATAAATTATGCATTGTTGATATTTACATAGAATTTGAAATTTTTGTGTTGATTTTTGCTTCAGGTGGACGGTAGTATTGGGGCTTCAAGTCTTAAGATAACAAACTTGGATTTGGATTATGTTAGACCCAAATTGAGTACATTGGAAGCCTTTGCTTGGTTTTAGGAATTGAAATTCTGTTAGATTTGATGGTATGTTGTTTTCACATAGATCAAAGAAGGCACTAACTAGGTGGCGCAGTTTGACTTCATATGCTGATTGTAATTTTCTTTGTACTGATTTTTCTCTATTAGGTTAATTTGCATTTACCTTTTCTTGGATTTGGTTAATTTGCATTTACCTTTTCTGTTATACTTGATTGGTGGATGATAAATTTGGTAAGTGACTTTTTGATGAACTTGTGGATGCTTCGAATAATCTAGGACTTGATATTGATGATGCAAGGGGTCAACACTATTATAATGGTGCTAACATGAAAGGAAAACATAAAAGAGTTCAAAATAGACTATTACAACTAAATCTTAGAGCATTCTATAGTCCTCGTGGGTGTCATAGTCTTAATCTTGCACTTTGTGATATGACCACTTGTTGTTCAAAAGTTAAATCTTTCTTTGGGGTGATGCAATGTAT